TTAAGACAAAAGGACCAATGAGGTTCATTCTTCCATGTTTGAGCTTTGGCAAGAACCAATGAGGTTCATTTTTGCATGTTTGAGCTTCCCCAAGAACCAATGAGGTTTATTCTTGATTTTTGAGCTTCGGCAAAAACCAATGAGGTTCATTCTTGATTTTTGAGCTTCGGCAAGAACCAATGAGGTTCATTTTTGCATTTTTGAGCTTCGGCAAGAACCAATGAGGTTCATTCTTGCATTTTTGAGCTTCGGCAAGAACTAATGAAGTTCATTTTTGCATGTTTGAGCTTCAGCAAGAACAAAAAAATGAGGTTCATTCTTGCATTTTTGAGCCTCGGCAAGAACCAATGAGGTTCATTCTTGCATTTTTGAGCTTCGGCAAGAACCAATGAGGTTCATTCTCCCATGTTTGAGCTTCCCCAAGAACCAATGAGGTTCATTTTTGCATGTTTGAGCTTCAGCAAGATACAATGAGGTTCATTCTTGATTTTGAGCTTCAGCTAGAACCAATGAAGTTCATTTTTGCATGTTTGAGCTTCAGCAAGAACAAATGAGGGTCATTCTTGTATGTTTGAGCTTCGGCAAGAACCAAAGAGGTTCATTCTTGGATGTTTGAGCTTCCCCAAGAACCAGTGATGTTCATTCTTGATTTTTGAGCTTCGGCAAGAATAAATGAGGTTCATTCTTGCATGTTTTTTGCTACCTCGAGAACTAACTAGGTTAATTATTGAGTGTTTGCGCTTCCCCAAGAACCAATAAGGTTCATGCTTGCATGTTTTAGGTTTTCCAAAGAACCAATGAGGTTCATTCTTGCATATTTTCATATTCCATAAGAACCAACAAGATTCATTCTTGCATGTTTGAGCTTCCCCAAAGAACCAATGAGGTTCATTCGTGCATGTTTTATATTCCTCAAGAAACAATGAAGTTTGTTTTTGCATGTTTGAGCTTTGGCAAGAACCAGTGAGGTTTGTTTTTGCATCTCAATCATGCGTGATTAAAAGCCTAAATTAAATCTTGGTGTAAATCTTGCTGGACTGATTTTGATTTATATTTATTTATTTGGTCTTTTTACAAACATTTTATTGCATCACATTTGAAAAAGTGTGAAAAAACCTTTAACGGGGGGATCAAAATCTCTTTGATTTAATTAAAACGACCCTCGTTTGTGTTCCGAAGATGGACAATTTTCTCATGGCTTTAGAACAAAATCAGTGAGAGGAAATGATGACCGTGTTTTCATTTTGAGATGAACTAACCTTTTATATCAGTGTTGCTATTACTGACAGACTGTACAGAAAGAGCCTGTGTGTTCCTCTAGGCTCTTTCCAAATCCCACTGTGAGCACTTCTTGTCATTTCGTAGTCTCTCTCTGTCATGAGAAATTGCTTTTGCTTTTGCTGGAGCCGAACGCCGCTGCTTTGTAAAGAGCACAATAATACTTCGGTTTAGTCCTTCTGAAGTTGTGAACCTAATTATGGAGCTCTATTTTTGGCTGGCCACCTTGTGTCTGCTGGTTTCCCAGACTGGTTTCCTTCACTTGTGACAGCTGTTTGCATTGTTCAACAGCATGCTTTAATTCGAAAATCCAGACCATCTGAGATCTTTGGGGTTTAATTAATCTCACGCTACCGTGACAAAAGAAGAGGAAGAAACGCTCTACTGAGCATCACAGAACTCAGAAGAGTCTCATAAGTCTTTACTTTTTTCTTATGTTAGGCTTTTGATTTCATCGTTGTAAGCCATTACGATTTAAATATAAGATCTAGATTTAGGGGAAGCAGAACTGAAATGAGTGACAGATACTGAAATACAGTTAAATACTAAAGACAGAACAATGTTATGCAAGATATTGTGCAGAAGAGGTATTTTAAGGTTAAGAAAACAAGTAGTGCAACATGATTTGTGGTACATTCGCAAGTAAACATTGGTTTCTTCGCTGAGTTCTTGCAAGATGGAGTTTAAGTGTCTGGTGCATATGAAGAGAGAAGAGTGTTTCAACAGGTGGTTTGTCAAGTCCATTTACTTCAGGGTTCCCATGGGTCCTTAAAATGTCTTAAATTAAAATCCGGGAAAATTAAGGTCTTAAATTGTCTTAAATTTTACCGTAAAGTGGCTGTAGGTATTACATTTTCAGCCGGTGTGCTTAATGACGATAGGGAAGCACAGTGGTCCACCATAAAACATCTAATAGTTGATCAATTTAGTATGTGTGAAACAGGAGAGAAATGACAGTCTCCGTCATTTATTAGCTTATTACGGTAGGTCGGCTACAGACGCTTATGTTGGTCTGCACCTGTGTGCTGGCATTACGCCCTTGTCGAGGTAAGGTTCAAAATGCAAACATGGCAAAGTGTAAATTTAACGGCGTGGCAATGAGGCAATGAGTAAATTCTGCAAAAAGACCTTTTCGTTAGGGACCATGGGGCTCAAAGCCGTCGAGTCGTGCATGAAAGGTGGAAAGCAGCAGCGGTACGTTGCAACAGCTAGTCATAGCGGGTCCAGGTTAATTTCTGCATTGTTTTCAGCTCGACCTAACAATGTTAACTTACTAGTTCAGACTAAATTTAAAGGCTAAGTTCATGTACCCAGGCCTATTTAGAGTGCTGAGATGTTACGATGTTACAGAGGACTTTTTTTTTTTTCAACTTCCAAGTGGCCTATAGTCTATGTTATGATTATGTATAAGTAATGTTAACACATATTAATGACTCATTCATGAACAAAGGCAAAAGCGCTGTGTGCATGTGAACATTTGAATAATGTCGGGCTGTAAACGGGTTCGGGCTTTTTAAAAGCTGTCAGTCAATATGTACTTTTCGGGCTTGGGCCCTATCGGGCCTAACTTTTCAGACTAGTTCAGACGCCCCCACACAGTCAGCTAGAACAGTTTCATTTTACCGCCAGACACCCAAAAGGCAGGTACTGTGGGTTATCCATACTGTGATGAGGCACCATTCATTTAAATCATTAAATTGAGGACATTAAATTGAGTAGTCTATTCCAAACAAATTATGAAATTTTTGGGTCTTAAATTATATTTATTGAGGTCTTAAAAAGGTCTTGAAAGCATAAAATTTAACTTTTAAAATGGTGCAAGAACCCTGTACTTGTGTGAGGCACACTTCATAAATACACATTGTTTTTTTCTAGAGATATGAGTGATTGTAAGAAGTGTTTGGTGCAAAACTAGTGTGAGGCACACTCAGAAATGCATGATGTTTTGAGGTTTCCGTGTGGTGTGATTAGGAGGAGAGGAGCAAATTGAGAAACAAGTGCACAACTGAAATGATCTCAGTAAAGCAAGCACTGAGTAAACATCTATTTAAAGCTGACTGTACTATCGCTATTGTCTTTCCTCAGCTGCTGGATGGCATGGGAACCGAGCCTTGGTGCGTTTTACGGCCCTGCGGCCTTCATCGTTTTCGTGGACTGCATGTACTTCCTCAGCATATTGATTCAGCTCCGTCGGCACCCCGAGCGCCGCTTTGAGCTCAAAGAACAATCCGAGGAGCAGCAGCATCTTTCAGTGACCGAAGCCACCGAAATCACGCCGGTCCACCTGGAGTCCTCACCCACTGCACAGCCCGTTCCCATGTCGGCTCTGGAGAACGAACACACTTTTGTTTCCCAGCTCATGGGTGTTGCAGGATCCCTAACTCTTTACGCAGCACTCTGGGTGTTTGGTGCTCTCGCAATATCTCAAGAGCATCCGGCAGATTTGGTGTTCGCCTGTTTATTCGGAGCCCTCGCTTTGGGTCTCGGTGCATTTCTTGTTGCGCACCATTGCGTAAACCGACAAGACATGCGACGTCATTGGTCGCAAGCTTGTTGCCTTATTCGTCGCAACTACGCAGTACAAGTTGATTCCCTCCTATTACCGATCGCAGGATCCAGCGGATCAGTAATGACATCCAGAGGAAACGGAGAAGCTACAAAGTGTCCTGCGAGCAGCGCCGAATCCTCCTGCACCAATAAAAGTGCCCCAAGTCTACGCAACTCAACCCAAGGTTGCAAACTAACCAATCTCCAAGTCGAAGCTGCTCAATGCAAAGTAGTAGCACCTTCGACGGCCAATGGGACGGCTGTGTTGGACAACAGCTTGACCGAGCATTCGGTAGACAATGAGATTAAGATGCACGTTGCGCCAATCGAAATCCAATATCGACCCAGTTCGGTCAACAACAACAATCTTCCAGGCAATGCTAATATTACCGGACACCCAGGGCGGCATCACAAGAACCGTTCAAGAGCGCATCGGGCTAGCAGGCTCACAGTTTTGCGCGAGTACTCGTATGACGTCCCGACTAGCGTAGAAGGAAGCGTGCAAAGCGTCCCAAACAAGAGGCATCATCACGAGAGCCTACACGCTCGTAATAGTCGTCGGGCAGCCTATTTGGCATACCGAGAACGCCAGCAGAGCCAGCTTCAGCAGGACAGCAGTGATGCAGCCAGCACCAGCGTGCCTCGCAGATCGCGACACTTCAGCAAAGGTACCCGCATTGGTAATGGTTTTGGCCACGGGATCAGTAATGGAGGCTTATTGGATGGATCTGAGGCTGATGTCACCAACCAAACTAAAGAGTGTCCAAAACAAACCCTCACTGTTGAGCTGGAGGTACAGCCCAAGTCTTATGGGTTGAATCTAGCATGCCAAAATGGATCTGCCAAAGACTCTGAGAGACTAAATGTTGAGAGTTCGGGGAATGTTAAGACTGGCTTGTGGAAGCATGAAACTACTGTGTAGAGACTGCGAATCAGACTTTTGCCTGTAACTGTGAATTGTTTAATGATGTTAATCCAAATGGTACAGTTTGTAAAAGAATAGTTTTTGAAAGAAATTGCTTTTAAATGTTCAAATTTTGGAGAAAAAAAAATACCTAAGAGTGCGTATAGTTCCAACTTGGCTCGAATTACATACAAAGGGTCTATTTTTGTAAACTTTACCCCGTTTTGTATTTCGTTCTGATATTTTGTATGTGAAAATGCATGACGTGCTGTTTTTTCTTCGAGTATATGTTGGCTGAAGTTTTTCATAATTGCAGGCGTCGAATAATAATAAACAAAACAATCTTTACACAGTCCAATTTCTCATTTCTGGGAACTACGATGAAAATCAACTTTTGTAAGCTGTTTGGACAGAACTGTGTGTAGGTATAGTGTGTCAACTGTCATGTTGAAGGGATATAAATCCATCAAGTCTCTATTGTTTTATTTCCGGACATAAAAAAAAATGCAGCTAGCTCTCTGCAACTCTCACGTGGTCGCCCACTGAAGCTAAGCAGTGCTGTGCCTGGTCAGTACCTGGATGGGAGACCACATGGGAAAGCTAGGTTGCTGCCGGAAATGGTGTTAGTGAAGCCAGCAGGAGGCGCTCAACATGCGGTTTGTGTGGGTCGTAATGCCCCAGTATAGTGATAAGGAGTTTATACTAATCAGTAGGTGCAGTCTTTCTGATGAGATGTTAAACCGAGGTCTTGGCTCTCTGTGGTCTTTAAAAATTCCAGGATGTCCTTCGAAGAAAAGTTGGGGTTTATCTACCGGCATCCTGGCCAAATTTGCCCAGTGGCCTCCATCCCCATATCATAATTGGCTTCATCACTCTGTCTCCTCTCCACCAATCAGCTGGTGTGTGGTGTGTGGTCTGGCACAATATGGTGTTGGATGAGGAGATTCCCTCAATGTGTAAAGTGCATTAAGTTTCTAGAAAAGCGCTTTATAAAATGTAAGGAATTATTAAAATAGGATCCAAATTTCAGTGATTTTGAGGCGCACTGCAATGTGATTTAGGAGTGCGGTTTTCCCCGCCCACTGAATTGATTGACAGATACCATTTTTCTATAATAATAAGAGTTGGATTTCTATAACACAGATGTCCACAGATAATTTTTTCGGGATTAAACTAGGATAAAAATGTCTGTTCCAACTCTCTGTGAGTTTGAGTTTACTAAGTTTAAAACGTTTTTTAAAACAGAGCATGTTTGTATTAAAGATAATAAAATCGCTATCTTATTCTTAACCGATATAATCACCACAGCCGCATGGTGTCAGTAAACGCGCATGTGTGTGTGTGTGTGTACTGCAAACGACATTTGTGTGGGACTCGTCCTTTCAGAAAGGCTTACCATAAATGCATCAAATAAACTTACTTGGTATTTTTGACTAATGAGCCGTATTTCAGTTTCATCCGAGTCTGTCTCTATCACTGACTGCTGTTTATCTGACATAACGGAAGAGAAGCAGCTCATTTGCATTTAAAGCTACAAAAACAGCTACAGTATACTCAAGACAGCAAAATGGGCAGATTCTGAAGGCTATGATGGTTTGTTTGAGCTGAAAATTTACAGACACATTCTGGAGACACCAAAGGCTTATCTTACATCTTGTAAAAGGGGTAAAATAGGTGCCCTTTAATCTAAATGTTTTATTAAAAAAAAATAATATTAAAAAATCATGGTAAAACTTGAAAAAAAAGAATATGCCTACAAAACGTTGCAAAACATCAATAATATATCTACAGAAAAATGTGTTTGGGTTCAGATTGGAAGCCTATTTTAGAATTTATTCTGACATTTTGTGTGTGAAGATGCATGATGTGTTGTTTTTGAGTGTGTGTGTGTGTGTGTGTGTGTGTGTGTGTGTGTGTGTGTGTGTGTGTGTGTGTGTGTGTGTGTGTGTGTGTGTGTGTGTGTGTGTGTGTGTGTGTGTGTGCTGGCTGCAGTTCTTCTAATGTGTATTCTCATAATTGCAGCCATCAAATCTTCGCACAGCCCACTCATCTCATCTCTGAGTTCAAGGGTGACCTCAAAGTAATTGCTAGCTTATTTTGTTATTTAAAACCAAATGATGCAGTTCGTAGAAGTGATTTTTCAACCGTTGAGAAAACACCTGCAAATGCATATTGTTCTCCACTTGGCTCCAAATCACTAATAAGTCTACAGATGGTTTATACCTTTGCACTTGTTTTTGTATTTAATTTTGAGATTTTGTCTGTGCAAATCTGTGACCTTCTGCTCTTTACTGCTGAATCGCTTTGAATGTGTTTGCACTTAATTGTGTCCATCAAATTATACAACATATCCACACACGCACAAACACACACATTATTATTATTATTATTATTATTATTATTGTTATTTGTTGTTGTTGTATTTAGTCACTGATATATATATATATATATATATATATATATATATATATATATATATATATATATATATATATATATATATATATATATATATATATATATATATATATATATATATATATATATATATATATATATATATATATATATATATATATATATATATTTATTTATCATAAAATTATATATATATTTTATATATATATATTTATGTTTTTGTCTCTGTCTCACGCGCACGCGCACATATATATATACATATATAAATAGATATAGAGAGCTCTATTACTCTTTTAATTTTTCTTTTTTTTTTTCTTTATATATAGATAGAGAGAGAGAGAGAGAGTGCGCGC